GACGTGGGCCACGACGGACTGTGGGCACGGGCGAATCCGACGGGCGCGGGAGGACTAAGCGTCGACACGAACAGAAGGCAAGGGCAAGGATTCTCAACAAAAAGATGTATAGACAGGCATAACGTTCTCACATCCACACGTTTATACATCCATACGTTCGATATTCATACACATAATGCAATCGGGACAGACATAGCACAGACAAGTGTGAGCAAAATCCCAAGCCAGAATTCAGAAAGCCGAAACGAAAAATAAGAACGGGCATCCGCTCGGAGCCGCAATCAAAATGTATGTACACAGATGAAGAGGGAGAAGAGACAAAGAAACAGCAAACCCGCGTCCATCGACCTCAACTCTCTCTCCTCCTCTCTTCTTCTACGATGCGGACAGTCCGTCGTCACGCACCAACCCACAAAGTCGTCACCCCGCTTAGTCCTCCCGCGCTCGTCGGATTCGCCCGTGCCCACAGTCCGTCGTGGCCCACGTCGATCCAGCGCGTTCGGCACGTGCCCGTCGGGTCGTCCAACTCCTACTGTACTCACCTCTTACTTCGCTCGTGTGCCGACCCTTCCTGATCGCGCAACCCCGAGCGTCCAACAACGGGTTAAGAGAGTTCACTAATCGCGCAACCAAAATTTATAGCGTGCATGCATGCGAGAAGAACACGGAATTACCAGGACTTAGAGTGGGGATTAGAGAGGGAGTGCCTGCGTTCTGCATGATCGGCCGCGGCGTGGGGGACGTAACCCCTCTCCACGCATCGATCCAAGCATGCAAACCGCGGCTTCCAAAAGTTTCAGCAAAAGAAGGAAGGGGAGGGCGAGAGTGACGAAGTGCAAGAAGAAATATACAGTTACAATGGTGCCCACCAAAATTACAGTTACACATACGATTAAGGGCGCCCATTAATTAGAGTACCGTTACAGCCGCATGAAGAAGCGCATAGACAAAAGGCACCGTGCGGCGAGAAAAATCCTAATTACTAAATTCCTAATTCCTATCTAATGCGAAAAGGCAAAAAGCGAGAATTCCAAAAGGAAAGTCCGAAACTCCGAGAGCCATCGGGGCTCGACAAAATTCGAAAAAGATTCAAAAAAAAATTCAAAAAAGAACAAAGCAATTTCCCGCGCGATGCCCGCGCCCAAAAGATCGAGACCGGAGAAAATAAATGACGTCAACATTTACTTATCGTGCGCGCAGTAGCGCGCCAGACATCCTTCTGACCAATCACTCGACGGGCCGTCCCAGGACACACCCAGCTCCGAACCCAGCCAATGGCATGTGAAAAAGGAGGCGACGAAAAAGGGATGAAAAAGCGAGGACACTGATGCAATTCTCCACCGATCCCAACTTCCCGTAATCGGCCCAATCTACCCGTCTTAGGACCCCTCGTTGCAACCGCGCAGAAAAGCGCGCGTTGCAGATAGTGGTTCGCCACAGTCCACTACCGACTTACACTCCAAAACACTGCCTCGAGGTGAGTCGAAAAAGGAGAAATGAATCTGGCCGGAATGCTTGGTTGTATAAAGGCATCGTGACGTGCACCTACTACCCCATGAAACGAGATGGAAACAGGTAAAATGAAGTTTTGTACGTGTTGGTTGGTAGGGGGGTAAGAAACGACCTCCGTTTGCGGACTGTCAGACGGCAGTTTCCGAATTTTGTTTTTTCGTTTTGCCATTGCACGGCTAAAAGCGGGGCCCGCGAAGTCTTGAAAACGCCCCTACCTCTTGAAGTCTTGTTTTCCAGACCGTTGTGCACTGTTTTAGGTGTTTTTCCTTTGGACTCACATGTGCGAGGATCAGGGTCCTCGGTAGGCCTATGGGGCCCTATCTGCAGCCTTACCCGCCCTAAGTGAAGGCGGAGGTGCCCTCCCTAAGTGAAGGCGTGCCTGACTTTTTGCAAAAGGACTTCGACTGTCAATTTCATATTTGGGGTTCAGGCAGTTGCGACGCGCCAGTTGGTTGAAAGAAACACAGGCCGAGCAACAAAGACATTTCCACGGCCTACCAGGGCTTTCCAAAGAATGCAGGCCCTGACCGTGATTCGCAGCCTTATACAGAGATAGTTGGGCGCCCAACCGAACGAGGCCCAGCAGCCCAGTAGCTGCTGCATCCAGGCAGCCTCCTGGGGCCTTCCGGAAGCTTCTGGGCCCAGGCCAAGGCATCCAGGCTGCGTGAGCAGGCCAACTCTTTCCATAAAGGAAAGAGCTCGGCCCTGGCTGCCTCATTCAGGCACTCGCATGCTGGGCGGCAGCGCTGC